ATAGCTGTGTAAATAAACATTTTCCTATAAGCAAAGCAGATTTTTATCTAAATCTCTCTTTAGATTGTAGAACGGCTTCTACACAGAAGGAAATGAGTTATGGCATCTCCAGGTGACTTTTTTTTAATCTCATCTTTATTGTTTAAGTCAGTCAACAAATGAGTATGTAATTTCTCAGCCCACATTTAAAAACATTAACTCACTTTCACTTGGAGGTGTAGACATAAAGCCATAAATCTAATTCACATTCTACTGACCCATTTCAGGTCTGGTCTAGAAAGCGTCAAGGCAGAACCAGAGGCTGTGGTTCAGGCATCCAATTAGGGAAGGAGTGCAGAAAATCTGAGTTCTTTGTCCTTCTGAGTTCTATCCATCCACCAGGGGAGATATTCTGACCTTCCTGCCAACGTCTCCTGTCCATCTCTGATATATGGACAGAGAATGGCACGTAGTAGTGTTTCATTATCCCTTTCAGGCCAAAGAGTTCTTGAAGGAGCAAGCTTGGAAAATTCACTTTGCCGAGTATGGGCAAGGGATCTGCATGTACCGCACAGAAAAAACCCGGGAGCTGGTGTTGAAGGGCATTCCGGAGAGCATGCGGGGGGACCTCTGGCTGCTGCTTTCAGGTATGGACCCGGGGGGTGGCGTACCGGCCCTAGGGTGTGCAAGACCTCAGCGCTGCCCTTTCGCATCCCATCATGCACCTGGGCTCTTTCAAATACGCAGCCCTCCGGTTTAGCCCTAAATCCCCTTTCCTCCCCGGAGTGTTGAAGTCCCTCCGTAAAAACACAGAACGCATATACAACTGTCCAGATATTGAAGCCACCATCTCCCAACCCTGCATAACCTCTTCCATCCCTTCACGAATGCGATTTAGAAGAAGAGAGATCCCGAAGGGAAAGAGTATAATTCTTTGTGATTTTTGAAGCCCCTGTTCCTTTCCCTGCTGTATCCACTTCACTGAGAATGTGTAAGTGTGGCACATGCTCAGAGCCATCATGAAGGTGAGGAGAGGGAGGAATGAGAAAGCCTCATGCTTGGGTTCTGCCCTCTCCTAAATTTGCTGGTTATCACTTGGAGATGTGAAGGGGAGGCCAGAATGTGCACTAGAACTGAAGGCCCACCCAGATCACACTAACACTCCAAGCTGGAGACACAGGAAGGCCAGGAAAGGTGTGTTATGGACCTGTGGGTCCTCAGCGAGGCTCATGCCCACACACAAGCTCTGTGGGGTCAGACCTTTGAGCCCTGAGGGAGACCAGAGATGCTTCAGGCTTGGCTCATCATACCTTCCTCCCTGCCAAAACCATCTAGGTGTCTGTTCTGTCATGAACATCCAGGGCATTTTTTTGGTGTCACCAGACTTTATAAATCAGGTACTTTACCTGGTTAGAGGCCTGAGATCTAATCATTTAAATAAGCTTATTTGAATATTTGTATTTCACCCTAAGGTGGTCTAACACAAGTGTGTTATCAAAACCTTTTATTTTAGGGGCGTCTGGGTGGTTCAGTCGGTTAAGCGTCCGACTTCGGCTCAGGTCATGATCTCATGGTTCGTGAGTTAGAGCCCCCCATGGGGCTCTGCTGACAGCCAGCTCAGAGCCTGGAGCCTCTTTCAAATTCTGTATCTACCTCTGTCTCTGACCCTCCCCTGCTCACACCACCCCCTCTCTCTCTATCTCAGAAGTAAATTTTTAAAACATTAAAAAAAAAACATTTTATTCTAAAAATAACATTAAAATTAAAAGCATAGTTACCAGACTTACAGGAAAGCCTTTAAAAAAAAAAAAACCAAAAAAAAAAAAAACCCAAACCTTTATCTCTTTCTAAAAGTAGATATAAATGGTAATTGGCCGTAATGAGATGTATTAACATCTCAGCAGTTGGATAGAATCCTGAAAAATAATTGGCTTTATGTGTTTCATGAAAAACTAGTTTGTTCTCTCCTTATTCATATGGCTTTTTCGTTTTCCTTCAGGAAACCAGCCTTAGCTCCTCATTTACAGATTCAGATTTGAGGGGTACCTGGGTGGCTCAGTCAGTTAAGTGTCCAACTTCAGCTCAGGTCGAGATCTCATGGTCTGTGAGTTCGAGCCCCATGTCAGGCTCTGTGCTGACAGCCGACTCAGAGCCTGGAGCCCCTCCGGATTCTGTGTCTCCCTCTCTCTGTGCCCCTCCCCCGCTCATACTCTGTCTCTCTCTGTCTCTCAAAAAATGAATAAATGTTAAAAAAAAGAAATCCAGATTTGAGTCAAATGATCTCTGATTACACAAACCCAGCCCAAGAAGAGCCTTCCTGTCCTGTCTTCTGTCTTCCTTGTGTTTGGCGAACTAGTCACCTTGACAGCTTGATTCAGATCATTGACATAATTAATGAAAGATTTCATTTTCATCCTTATTCAAATTGGAAGTTACTTACAGCCACATTTTGGTTGAAAACAAAACTCAAACTCAGCACCAAGAAACAGTACACAGTGGTACACAGCACAGGTGCAGAGACACATCTAGAGTTAGACCCAGTGTTTTCTTTAATGGTGATGGAGGCCAGAGGGTAGAGCGGGCTCCCTGCTGCCTCTGTTGAGTACACAACAGCCCCTGTTTCCACCCAGCTCACTGGAGGTGGGGTGCATGTGAAGCCAGCTCACCCATGGGGAGAGCCCGGCTTCTGGTCGGGGAGCCTTGCCTGGGTCCCGCCCTGCTCCTCATGACTCTTAGGGCCATTATACCAGGACCTGGCTCAGTGTACCCAGTGAAGTGAAGTGCAGGCCAGAGGGTAAGATATCTTTGCAAATCTCCCTTGAGAACAAGCGAAGGCCCATGTTAAGCTGCTGTCAAGAAGACTGCCTTTTCCAGGGTAAGTGTGAGTGGGAAGCCTGTCTCCCTGGGTGACTGTCATTGACAAGGTCCAGGACATCCCAAGGGCTCTAATTTCTTTTTTTTTTTTTTAAGTTTTTTTAAAACTTTTATTTATTTTTGAAAGACAGAGAGACAGAGTATGAACGGGGGAGGAGCAGAGAAAGAGAGAGAGGGGGAGACACAGAATCCGAAGCAGGCTCCTGGCTCTGAGCTGTCAGCACAGAGCCCAACATGGGGCCCAAACCTACAAACTGTGAGATCATGACCTGAGCCGAAATTGGATGCTTAACTGACTGAGCCACCAGGAGCCCCAAGGGCTCTAATTTCTAACCAGTGAAATATAGATCAGTCTATCCTGTGTTGTAGTGTGTGTGTAGTATAACATGTACATATGTGTGTGTTTTATATATATACATACATGTATATATAGAGAGAGAGAATGTAGAATTACCTAAGTTATATTTAATTAGGTTTCAATCTAGACATTTTCATACAGGCTTCCTGTCTTTAAGAATATTAAAATGCAAATATCTCAAGCCAGTGATTCTCCACCCATTTCTCCATCCTCATCCCCACCACCCGGGAAACTCCCACCCATGCGGGTGGCTCATTGGTAGGAATGCCCACACCACCCACTGCACTTCTACAAACCGCTCCATGTACTCTGATACCTCCTCCTACTCTTCAGTATGGCTGTTTGAACTCTTCAGACCTTATGCGGTAGCAAGCAGCATTTGGACATGTTTTAAGAGGCAGAACTTCCCTTTTCAAATGAAATCTTAAGAAAAACCCCAATAAAATACCAGCAAAGCTGCTATGGTCGAGAAGGGCTGAGATGAGGGGGCTTCGCCTTACTCTTGCTACCTTCCTTCTCTCCTCTAAGTAGCCCTCAAGGATTGTTCTTGGAAGTTCTGTGGAACACAGATTTTTAGCTTGCAAGCCTCTACCTCAGGAGCTCTTCAAATACTTGGTTTATAGTGGAGTCGAAAGAGGGAAGCAAGTAAATTTACCCGTCTAGCCACAATTGCCACATGCCACCTCTTCTGTGGGGTGTCATTGTTATTTCACAAGTGTCCTTTGAGTGGTGAGGAACATGAAGCTGGTAAGCTGCATCTGCCGACTAAAGGCAGGGCTTGCACTTTTGGATGTTGTATCTGTCTGTATTTCCTAGGTGCCATCAAAGAGAAGGCCACGCATCCTGGGTACTATGAAGATCTAGTGGAGAAGTCCATGGGCAAGTATAATCTCGCCACGGAGGAGATTGAGAGGGATTTACACCGCTCCCTTCCAGAACATCCAGCTTTCCAGAATGAGATGGGCATTGCCGCTCTACGGAGAGTCTTAACAGCTTATGCTTTTCGAAATCCTAATATAGGCTATTGCCAGGTAAATGACACAGATGGTTTAGATATTTTTTTAATTGTTTATTAAGCAGTAAGTAAATGAGAAAAAGAAGAATGGTTAACAGAACTATCCCTGCACCTAAATTTCTTGGCCTCGGCACTGTAGACATGGTGGACCGGATAATTCTTTGTTTGGGACTGTCCCATGCTTTGTAGGATGTTCAATAACATTGCTGTTTAATAACATGTTTAATGACATCCACCCAGCTAGTAGAACCCCCCAGTTGTGACAACCAAATGCCTTTAGATATTGCTAAATGCCCCCTGGGGAACAAAAGCTCCCTGAGTTGAGACCACTGCACTGAGCAGAGGAGCTAGCGGACAAGAGTGCCCAAGAGTGTCCTCTCTGGAGCCACTGCTGTGTAGCTGGGTGACCTTGGAAAGTAACTTCTGATTACTTTCTGAGCCACCCCGCATCCCTCCTTGAGGTAAAAGAGAGCATGTCTGAGCTCCAGGCCTGTAGTTCTGGATTCTAGGTTCCACACTGCTCCTCCTTTACATCCTAAGCAATAACGTCCTTGAGAATATAATTATTTTATGTTATGATCATATTTTAATACACAGTAAAATAAATGTTGAATCTGCTATTTTAAAAAAAATGCTGCCCCAACTAAAGTTATCTCTTGTACTGGGACATATACCACAATTTGGAAAGCTTCAAGATAATGCGACTTTAGACTTAAAGGCCACGTATTCAGAGAGGCCTTCCCTGACCATCCACCTAAAACCTACGGCAGGTCTGTGCTCGCTTTGACAGCACATACACTAAACTTGGAGCGATACGGAGATTAGCATAATCCCTGCGCATAGATGACACGCAAATTGTGAGGGATTCCGTATTTTTGTGGGAGATACAGGCTTCCAGTTATGGAATGAATCAGTCACGGGACTAAAAGACACAGCATAAGGAATGTAGTCAGTGATACTGTAATAGCAATGTATCCACATATATGTGGGGCAGATGGCAGCTACACTTGTGAACATAGCATAATGTATAAACCTGTGTCAGCTGCACTCCAAAAAATGTGGAAAAAAATCACAACCAAATACAACTTTTAATATGTTGACAAATACTTCAAACTTCCCACCAATCCAGAAAGATGGCATAATGTATTTTTTACTAAATGACTGCTTTACACAAAAATAAATAAACAGATAGATAAATGCTAAAGTAGGCTTAATTCCTCTACACACACACACACACACACACACACACACACACACACAGAGTACAGGTCTTCCTGTACCACATGTTTTTTACCTTTTTGATAGCAGTTAATTTAAATAGACTCCCAAACTGATTAATTAATCTTAAATCTTTATTCTGTCTCTCTGACATCAACATTTAAGTCCTGTGAAACCTGTCACCACTGTGTCCCCCCTCTCATCCCCCAATACTCAGTCCAGAGTCTGTTACGAAGCAGACCCTCAAACTTACCTTGACCGAATGACTAAGGAACCAGCCACGATCAGATCATGTACTAGATTCGGCAGGTTAATTCTCAAGTGCAATTTTAATAATGATTACACTTGAGAAAATAATAAGACTTACAAGAAAAAGCCTATTAGACCTAAATTTCCTTTTTAGTGTATGCTGGAGAAGTCTGATGAACGATTACTGGTTTGTAGAAGATCAAAAGATGTGCAGGAGTTAGTTGGCTTCTACAATTACAGAATTCATATTTATCTTTTGATCTTCCTCTTTTTAATTAAGAGGACTATTAAAGTAGTTGAGCCTTGAGAGGTTATGAGCTATGTGAGAATATCTTTTCATAAAGTAGGTTACCTAAGAGTCTCAATCACTGTTACATATCACTACCATCCTTATCTGGATGGAAATAGTGGGTGAGGACTCCAAATTTGAAAGGTTTTATTGTTCTCAGAGGAGAGCCTCAGGCCATGTGTACTGGGTTATAGAAACCATTATGGAACATTAAAAAGGAAACATTTACCTCATGAATTAGGGATTAAAAATGTTGAGACTTCAGCCAGTTGAAAGCTTTGTCAAATAGACTTTGGGCAAAGTTTTTGCATAAGGGCTGGCCTGTGTGTAGGGGCTCAGTCCTTGGTGAATATTAGCGTCGATGAAGACCCTTAACAGTTACCAGACCAAGGACTAAAGGTTTGTACATTTTTAAAGGGTTCTAAATGATATAAACAAAACCAAACTTTAGAAGAATATGTGTGCCTAGCTTGCAGAGCCTTTAAATATTTATCATCTGGCCTTATAAAGTCGGCTGGCTCTGTGAGACAAACTCAGCCATTCTTCAGGTTAACAAAATTTCTTATGTTAACCTGTATGCTGTATTTCAAATATATTTGATGACACCCTTTCTCATGCCTTTAGGCCATGAATATTGTCACTTCAGTGCTGCTGCTCTATGCCAAAGAGGAGGAAGCTTTCTGGCTGCTAGTGGCTTTGTGTGAACGCATGCTTCCTGATTACTACAACACCAGAGTTGTTGGTATGTGGGGGCTGTAGTTAACATTTTGACTTACGGCTCACAGCGAAGATGCTTCTAGAGCCAAGATGCCGGCTAGAACTCCATTTCCAGTCACCAATAGCCAAAAGAGTTTTAAATAATTCCAGTTTCCCAAAATAGGAGTGAGAGGGCTTAAATTAACATAAGACTGTACACAAAGGAGCCCCATGGAACGTAAGAGAATATGCATGTATCACAGTTACAGGAATTATTTTAGAAAACATTTGATGTGGGTGTCACTCTGTGGCATGTGTGAACGGCACCAAACATGTCAACCATCAATCAACCCAAACAGATTTGACCAAAAATGTTTTCATGAAAAGGATGGAATCTGTGGAAAACAGAAATATGCAAAAAAAAAAAAAAAAAAAAGAGAGAGAGAGAAAGAGAGAGAAACTCTCCAATAAAAAAAATCCAAAACTAAGTTTCTACAGTTTTTTTTTTTTGGAACTGGTTTCATTGTAAAGCAAACAATGACTGTAAACATTTAAATGAATTGTTGCTGTTCTTAAAATCCTCTCACGTGTAAGACATTCATTTTAGCAGGGCAAGCTTTTTGTTGCTAGTGTGGTAAATTGTATGTTTTATGTGCTCTTCATTTCTAAACCTTTTCATACTGATTTGATTCATTGGAAAAATTCCCCAGAAACGTCAGTAAGTTGATCATGAGTATGTACAACTGGAATGCTATTTTTTTTTAGATTTTTTTTAAATGTTTATGCATTTTTGAGAGAGAGAGACAGAGCATGAATGGGGGAGGAGCAGAGAGAGAGGGAGACACAGAATCCAAAGCAAGCTCCAGGCTCTGAGCTGTCAGCACATTGCCCAATGCAGGGCTTGAACCCACGAACTACGAGATCATGACCTGAGCCTGAGTAGGACACTCAACCGACTGAGCCACCCCGGCGCCCCATACATTTTTTTCTTTTAAGTAATCTGTACATCCAGTGTTGAGATCGAACTTACAACTCGAAGATCAAGAGTCACATGCTTTACCAGTAAGCTAGCCAGGTGCCCCTGAAATGCTTTTGAGTTTAAAAAACACTCATTTAAGGGATCCCTGGGTGGTTCAGTCAGTTGAGCTGCTGACTTGATTTTGGCTAAGTTCATGATCTCACAGTTCCTGGGATGGAGCCCTGTGTCGGGCTCTGTGTTGGCAGTGCGGAGCCTGCCTGGGATTTTCTGTCTCTGTCTCTTTCTGCCCCTCCCCAGGGTGCTCCCTCTCTCTCTCTCTCTCTCCCTCTCTCAAAATAAATAAACTTAAAAAAAAAAAACCCATTCTTATTAAAGTCAACAACTCATTTGTGGGGACTGTGCATCCAGAAAAGCAACTTGTTTTTTATTTTAAATTTTATCTTTTTTTAAGGTTTATTCATTTTTCAGAGAGAGACAGAGTGTGAGTGGGGGAGGGGCAGAGAGAGAGAGGGAGGGAGACAGAATCTGAAGAAGGCTCCAGGCTCTGAGCTGTCCCCACAGAGCCCAACATGGGCTTGAACTCACAGACCGTGAGATCATGACCTGAGCCAAAGTCAGATGCTTAACCAACTGAGCCACCCAGGCACCCCAGAGTTTTTTTCAATGAGTTTGCCAAGAAATGAGGCTACTTAGATATACATTTCATGCCTAAGTAAACAATTATATATCATGAAAACTTTCCAAACTGACTTTTCCAACAACCCATACAGTTGTGTTACCGCCCTTTTGTGGTAGGGAAGCAGGACAGGAACACTCTGGAAAGAGAAGAAACACCCATGGCTAATCTGCTGCCTGAGCTGTGTTGACACCTTGGTCTAGTCATTCAGTGCCTGGTAACATGGTAGCAGCAGAACAGTTAGAGAAAGGAGCTGAGTTCTGTCTCAGCAGCAATTGTGAGCTGGATTATTTTAGTCAAGCCATTTGATTTGATTGGGTTCCATGGTAAGAAGGTGCGGTGGGTTCACCTGTGCCCTTTTGTGCCCGCCTCTGCTGCAGGCGCACTGGTGGACCAGGGTGTCTTCGAGGAACTGGCACGAGACTATGTCCCGCAGCTGTACGACTGCATGCAGGACCTGGGCGTGATTTCTACCATCTCCCTGTCTTGGTTCCTCACGCTCTTTCTCAGCGTGATGCCCTTTGAGAGTGCGGTTGTGGTTGTGGACTGTTTCTTCTATGAAGGAATCAAGGTGATATTCCAGTTGGCCCTGGCTGTGCTGGACGCAAATGTGGACAAACTGTTGAGCTGCAAGGACGACGGGGAGGCCATGACCGTTTTGGGAAGGTAATGGACCAAGCCTCACTTTGCAGACCACCTCAGGCTCCTTCTCTGAACTTGCCCTCTCTCCTTTCCCCTTGGCTTCATGAGTTTTATTGGCTTGATGGTCATCATCATGCCCACTCCTGTCTGTGGCTGAGGATTCATTTTCATAGGCTGCATCTTTAGAAGTTAGGAGAATTTTGTTCTGTTCTTAAGGAGGTACTTCAGATGAAGTATACATTTTAAAGTATATTTTAAAATGAAGAGTTTGCAGAAAACAGAGAACTGTAAAGGGAGAATTCCAAATTAGCCTCGGTGACTTCTGATTCCTTTCTTTGTCCAGGTATTTAGACAGTGTGACCAATAAAGACAGCACGTTGCCCCCCATCCCTCACCTCCACTCCCTGCTCAGTGATGACGTGGAGCCCTACCCTGAGGTAGACATCTTCAGACTCATCAGAACGTCCTATGAGGTGGGTTCTCATTTCCTGCCTGAATGGCACAGTGCTCCGAGAGTGCAGAGAGGGACACTGATGTGTGGCACCCGCTTCCATTGCTAACCATGGGTATACCTGCTTCCTTTCACCTTCTGATAACTAAGTGGCAGAGCAAGCAGCTGCCTTCCAGCTGACGGCTTTGACCTTCAGAGACAGGAACTGAACAGGGCCATGACACCTGCTGGCTCTCACACCATAGGGCAGATGGCATGACAAACTCTCGCCATCTAGTTCTTTACCATGGCTGTCCTGAAGCCTGATCAGAGTAGTGGCTCAGATTCGACTCTGGGTGTATTGAGGAGGGGCTTCTAGAGCAGGCATGCTTCAGTCGACCTGCTCACATCGATACACTCTCTGTGCTCGGGTCAAGTACTCAGGTCGTCTCTAAAGAAAACAAGTCAGTTCTCTTCAGTCCAAGACCGATGGAATAGAGAAGAACCATCCTAGAGAAGAACCAGAGTCCTGGGGTGTCTCTCAAATGCTTGGACTGGCTAGGGAGGATGCCTTCTGGTATGTGAGGACCCTGGATCTGGCCCTGAATCTCAGAATAGAACTAACAACCTTCTAGGGGTGAAGGAAGCAGTGTTATGTGCTGAGTAGTGTTTGGTGGTTTGTGAAGCCCTGAGGACTC